AAAATGAACTAAATGAGATTCATATGTGAGCACGAGCTTTTGTCTCTGCACCTGTGTGTGTATGTGTGTGTGTGTGTGTGTGTGTGTGACTGACTCCTCTCAGTATGTTAATGTGCATATGCTTAGGCTACTCATTTCACTAAAATGCAACATAATTATAGTTAGAGTTTTTACAAAAAATCTTAGTAATCTTTACAAAAAAGCCTAGTTTTTTTTATGAAGTTTATAATTTTACTTAGACACGTTCATGTTAATAAGGGCCAAAATGTGTCTAAAATACACAATAGTTAGGCTGCAAAAAATTATAAAACACTTTTATTTTGTTAAATAAATACAAGATGCCTTCCTTGCTTGCAAATTCTTTCTGGATTTTGGATGGAATTTTCAGTGTCACTTCCAAACCAAATGATAACTAGAAAAAACTTGAAAACCTGTCATATGCACTTTGAGTTTAAAGGTGCATTGTGTAACTTTTCTTGTGGAAAGTCTGTCATCTGATTTTTTCCATCCATTCTTCCACTTATTTGGAGCCAGGTCATGGGGGCAGCAGTCTAAGCAGGGACTCCCAGACTTCCTTCACCCCGGACACTTCCTCCAGCTCCTCCAGGGAGACCCCAAGGCATTTCCAGGCCAGCCGAGAGAGAGAGCCGAGGAGGCCCCTGGAGAACACGCTGGACACGCAGATTTTTTTCCATGGCGATTTTGTTGCTTTGCCTGAAAAGTTCCACAATACAGGATTAAACTTAAAATCTATCTTGCATTTATTCAGTTAACAGGTGTTTTTATTGCTTAAAAAACATGAGTAGTGTCGCCTCTCCATAGATCTGACGTGTAACTTGACTTGGTGGTGTCATTTTTTTGTCTCTTTATTGAGATAGATACACTTACTCCAATACTGTGGAGCATTAAGGACAAAGCAACAACATTTCCATGGAGACGAGGAGGTAACAGACCGTCCACCAGAAAAGTTACACAATGTAGATTTAATTGTACTAGTGCTGGAGCCTGGCCTTTGCTGCCTCCAGCTGTGGACTGTGTGACCGGGCACATCAAATGCAGACAGTGCCTTCTGAACACACACGCATTTCTAAACACAGATCTTAAGCTCTAATTTATGCAATTACCGCTCCGCATTTACATACATTAACATATATCATACGTGTGCGCCGGCTTACAAGGTCATTGCTGGAACGCTCCCTCTAATAAAGCAGAATATGCAGTATGGCTGCCGCTGTGAATCATTTTTATTTATCACATTTGCTCTTCTTCTCTTTTTGGTCTGTGATTCCATAACATAAAGCTGCACAGTAAAGCACCATTGCAGTCAGAATTTGAGTAGGTGCAATAATCAAATGGCAAACGCTGCAAAGCCCATATTAGTGTTATTTTCTGATTTATGTTATAATGTTGTTTCCTCATCAAAAACATGCCTGGAGTTGTGTTTTGTTTCAATCACACACGTTTAGCACACAAACTGCACGTTTCTCAAACTGAAAACACTAAACTCCATACATATTTGCTGGAATCATTTGTATAACTTCAGCCCTGAAATTGCTCATCGCTACTGAATAAAAGGTAAAATGCAGCTGTTAACTTGAAAACTATCACACCATGACATCATAAGGTGGAACTGAGCATTTTAAGATGTGGAGACATAGATGGACCAATAATAAAGGATTACTCAAACATGTGTGAATGAAAACACAACTCCAGGTATGTTTTTGATGAGGAAACACCATTATAACATGGTTAAAAGCTCTCAAGAAATAATTCTGTGTAATATAGAACCAGGATGAAGAAATAGAATATTCTCTGTAAATAACAAAATTTCCTATTATTGAAAAGAAAACTAAACTGCTAATATTATAGTTTTTAGACGTCTGCAAACATGTTCTGAAATGCACACGATTTTTGTATTACTTTAACACTTCATATTTCAGGCTTTTCTTAAATGTTAATCCTCTTTGACGTTTTTGAAATGTGCACGGCAACTCTACCAAAATATTTCCCAATACTTTATTTAATACTGAAGGAGACATATGCAATGAATAGGCATCATTATAGTGTAATTCCAGGGCACACCAGTAATATGCCTCTCTAAGCGTAAAGTGCTCTTAAAGCTAAACAATAAGCCCTCTGCTTCCTCTTTAGAGCTACATCGTGACAATCCAGTGTGTGGAAATAGGAGCGGTGATAGTGTCTTTACTATACTTCTCCGTACCTCCTTTCTACTCCTCTCTGCTGGTTAATATGCATTTTATTAGACAGCCTGCTGTTGTAGAAACTATGCTTACTTGTCTTTTCCACTCACAGCGAGACTCCCTCCAGCGCAGGATGTAATGATTCTCGGAGATGGCTTCAGGTCCAGGCACACTTTGCGCTTTGCATCTTGGGTAATTCACCTCTCCTCACCCCCCTGTCTTTAACGGAGAGATGGATGCAGATGAGTTTCTCCATAGCCCTGACTGTGTGTGAGTGTGTGTAGGCAGGGGTTTATTGTAGTGTGGGGACTATCTCTGTACACACTCACATCACAGGGACCTGCCTATTTATGGTGACAAAAATCTGTTACACACAAAGACTGTATGAAGAAGTAGACTAAAGGAGTGTGACGTCATTCGTAGTGCTGGCTCTTGTCAAATGAAGCTCATGAGGCTAGCAGTTATAGGAGAGAATTTGGAGCTGAGTTTCATATTAGGAAATTATTCATGAACAAAAGACACCAGGATTATGTAGAGCTGATTAATACAATTATATCTGTGATTACCAACCTTTTTTCTCATAATAACACCTGTCAAAACACTCAAAACACTCTTCTTCAACCTGACTTAATGGAAAAATATATTTGTTTAATGGTTAAAAAGATGCTATAGAACAGTAAGTCCTTTATTATAATTATAGCCATCTAGTTTGAACTCTAAACTATACAATAGTGAAGTAGCTTCAGCTGACAAAGTGTTTGTCCACTGATGCTCCCATAGATGCTGTTGTTTTTGTCCTTGAGCAAGACACTTAACTCACCTTTCCCCTAGTCTGTGTACATTGGTGCATGAATGAGTGTGTGTGTGTGAATGGGTGAGTGGTTACTTGATGTAAAGCGCTTTAAGTGTCTTGAAGGTGTAAAAGGGCTGTATAAAAATGTGACCATTAACAATTTTTTTTGGGAAGCCCTGGGGACCCTGTGAAGCTTTAGGGACCCACAGTTTGGACCTCTAGTTTTGGTGCCACTGTATTAGATCAGCAACACGCTTTAAAGTTCAGCTAAGGGTGAAATAGGTTAAGGTTAGTGACTTTGGTCAAGGTCAGGATCAGTCTTTAGGAAATGAATGCAAGTCAATGCAATGTCCCCAAGTAGCTGGAAACCCAACATGTGTGTCCGTGCGTGTAGGAGGGGGTGCGCCTTAAGCTACAAATGGATTGGTCTTTAGCCTGGGCTGTGGTGAAGCATTCACAGCAAATAATCTGATTTAAAACATGTCAAGGATTGTGAATTCCTCATTACCCTCAACCCACCTGTCAGTTTTAACCCATATTTAATGTAACAAGAGCACACCCATGCATCACATTTGGGTCTTGTGTACTGTTCGCATAGGCCTGTCAGTCAAGATAACCAATTTTGAAGTGTGATATCGGCCTATTACAGAAGAAAATATACGATAAACTAAATAAACCCAGACACAATAAACATAAAGCAGGATTATCAACCAAATATATTCTAAATCAAATTTTAAAAAATCAAACATGAGCTGGAATCATGGACTGTATAATATATAAATGGACATAGCCACTGCGTTCTAAATAGGAAGTGTTCATGGGTGCGCTTCTGGCTCCATCGACTCCAATTGACTTTACAATGAAAAATTGTCGTCCCTCTCTCTGTAACTGCTGCAGTGAGCCTCATTATTCTGGTCTTAAAAATGTTTGTGTTTACTCGCTCTGCGTGATCCTGGTATTTTTATTTTACTGTTTTTTACGTAAATAATTCCCATTTCTAATATGGAGCTCCAAATTCACTTTTATAATTGCCAGCCTCATGAGCTTCATTTGCAGAACACTGTGGGTGATGTCACATTCCCCTTAGTCCACTTCTTTATTCAGTCTATGGCCAGAATACATAAATAGCAGAATGAAACACTTTAGTAGTTAGTCTGGATCTATAATGAGTCATAGAAGTTATTTATTCAAACCACCACTGTTAAAATTCTATTGCAGTACAGAAAAATAAGAAAAAGTCCTCCACTAGTACAAAGCAAAAGTACCCATAATAAATATTGTCACCCCCAAATGATTGTTCCATCCATATTGAATCATAAGTTGATATAGTATTTATTATGACAGGTCCACAGGTCTGCATACAGGTGCGATTCTGTGTGCGAATGTTTGTGTCATCTTTGTTCTTTCTCTTCCCACTCGAACAGGAACAAAATTGTTGCCGTCTCTCACTTCGCCTCCCTCCGGTGGACCCCCCAGAGAACTGCAGCTGTCACGGTGTCACTTTTTCCATCCATAATTGAGGAGCGCGCACCGCACAAAGCCCAAGAAACCATGTCAAACACTCCCAGTTGCTTCTGTTAAATAATCAGGCAGAACCAACAGTGCCATGGGGAGTCTCGGCTTGTCCCACTGCCTTGTGCAATCAGTGCTCAGCCTCCAGGCCTCTTGTGTCTTCTCCAGCGGACCACGACATCCCTACAGCTCCCAGGCAAGTTCTCTAGTCCTCAAGTGTCTGGCGTGGGCAGGCTGGGGTCACTGAAGGTAGAGACAGAGAAAATGCCCCATGTCTGTAATATATTATATATATATTTTTTGCTTCTAGTTGTTCATAGAATTGAATCCCCAAATTTGGTAGAAATGTTGACATTTTATGTTTATGATAGGGGTTACTATAGTGTTAGATTTAGACCGGGATCATGCAGTTTTGATTTGAATTTGAGCTCTTTAGACCAATGGCTGTGGTCATGAGAATTCATCAAAGAAATGGAAAATTAAGGTGTTTTTCA